ATAAACAGAAAGGTCCTTAATACCAAAACTTTGAAACGTGATTTCTTTTACTTGGCAGTGTCCAAGTGGTAAACCCAGATAGCATTGAGTTTTCATTTTGTTCAGGAAACAGTCTTTGGCCCCTACTTACCCCTACATCAGGCGGGCCTTGCTCATTCATTCACTAAAGTATTTCTTCAACACCAGTGGTGTGCCAAGTACTTATCTAGGTATTGGGTGGATTCTGGTAAGTCAGTCAGGTCCCTGCTCTTAGGGAACTTGCGGCAGAGATGAGGGCTGCAGTAGAGAGTAAGCCAAGGAAATGAACAAGGAAGCTGATTTCAGAGAGCAACGAATGCTATGAAGAAAATGAAGGCAGGGCAGTGTGATGGAGAGCGAACCAAGGTGGTACAGTTTGTACCTCTGAGGACCAGGCCGTGACCCAGGTCACGCACAGATGCCCGTCATGTGATGTCACAGCTCCTTTTCCAGGTGCTCGTTTCCTCCCACTTCCCCATCTCTTGCCCAGCCACGACTGCTTACAAATACAGCTAGAGGAATCTACATGAGGTTCCTCTATCATCAAACCTAATCAAAATGCCAAGGAACAGAATCGGTGCCTGGTGGAAGGCAGTGGAACGGGGCCAGCCTGGAGTGGTTCTCTCTGAGGAATTCCTCATCTTGGTTTTAGGGCCGTGCCTTGCAACCTGTGAGCTAGGGGTTTCCAGTCCCTGGTATTTCTACAGGACTTGCCTGTCTATATTCCCAGCCTATATGTGTCTCCTGAGTTCCAGGCACACAGGGTCAAGCACCTGATGGATGGAAATATGTTTTTTGGTGTTCCATTGGTATCTCAAATTCTACAAGACTTAGCGCCCCTTCTCCTCCCTGTTCCTCCCCATCTTCAATCTATCACCTATTCCTCATCCAGCAAATGATATTACCATCTTCCAAGGTGCTTCCCAGAAGTAATCCTTGACTCCTCCTCAACATCCAATTAATAATCAAATCTAGGCGGGTACAGTAGCTCATGCCTGTAATCCCAGCACTTTGGGAGGCCGAAGCAGGTGGATCATTTGAGGCCAGGAGTTCAAGACTAGCCTGGCCAACAAGGTGAAATTTGTCTCATTTAAAAAAAATTATTTAAAAAACCCAAATCTATTATTTCTACTTCTCAGTGTGTCTTGAATTGATCCATCTCTCCTCATCTCTGAGCTGTCACCTTACCTCAGTCCATCAGTTTTGTCTACATTAACATGACCAGAGTCTTGTTCCTTCTTTTCAGTTATTTGTACTGCCGCCTGTGATTCCTTTCTAAAATAGGTCTGGTGAGGTCACTCCAACTGCTTCAGATCCTTCCATGGCTCCCCGTTGCCCTCATATGAAGTTGGCACTCCTGGACTTGTGGCTTACGGGGCCCTCCCTGATGTGGCCCTATTTGCCTCTCCATTCTGTTCCCTCCCAGCCTCTCTGCCCCCCATCTCTAGGCACCAGCCACACCCTTCTGCTCATCAGTGGTGCCAGCTTCTCTTCTATCTCTGGTCTTTGCACAGACTTTTCCCTTCACCTGGATTGCTTTCTTCAATCCTACCCCACTCTCTTTAATCTAGATAAGGTTTATTCTTTTTGAATGTCTAGCAGTGAAACCATTTCCCCTGAAAAACCTTCGCTAACCAACCTCCTACCCTCAGCCCAAAGTCTAGATTAGGAGCCCCTCTAAATGTTTCCATAGCATTTTTTAAGAATTGCCTATTTACTTGTTCGTATCTATCACTAAACTATAAATTGTATGAGAACAGCCGCTATTTCTGCCTGGTTCACCATTCATCTCCAGCAACTAGCATAATGCCTGGCGGAGTCGGCCTGCAACAAATATTTGTTGAATAAATTAACAGATGGCTTTACCTCCTTAAAAGCTTGTTTTTTCCACCTATTAAAACAGACACAAAGGCCAGGTGTGGTGGCCCATGCCTGTAATCCCAGCACTTTGGGAGGCCAAGGCGGGCGAATCATCTGAAGTCAAGAGTTCAAGACCAGCCTGGCCAACATGGTGAAACCTCATCTCTACTAAAAATACAGAAATTAGCTGGGCATGGTGGTGGGTGCCTGTAGTCCCAGCTACTAGGGAGGCTGAGGCAAGAGAATCACTTGAACCCAGGAGGCAGAGGTGGCAGTGAGCCGAGATCATGCCATTGCACTCCAGCCTAGGGCAACAGAGTAAGACCCTGTCTAAAAAAAAAAAAAAAAAAAAAAAACCAACACACACACACACCAACTTGTATAATTTAAAATATCACATGCTTGTTATGGAACACTTGTAAAATACAGGAAAGCAATGAAAAAGTCTACTATCTAGCTCACCACATAATGATCATTGCTATCATCCAGGCATACTTCTCTCGTATATAAATATATATTCTTTTATTGTTAAAATTATACTACAAGTACTATTTATTTTACTGTGACAAAATACACAAAACATAAAAACTTGCCATTTTAACCATTTTAAGGTGTGCAGTGTGGTGCATTCACCACACCCACATTGTTGTGCCAATACCACCAGTATCTATCTCAGAACTTTTTCATCTTCCCAGACTGAAACTCTGTAGTCATTAAACAGTAGTGCATCCTCTGTTTCCCCCTCTCTACAATTTATTTTTATTTGGGTTCATACCAAACTGAAAATAGCTACTTCTTCCTTACCTTAGATCAGCATTTCCATTTATTTAGCCACGGTTTTGAGGATCCTATGGCAGATGCCATCCTTCCTAGAGCTCTTTGGGACTGTCAGGTGTTTCGGTCAGGGTGAATTCGGATTGACAACATTTTAAAATCTCACTTTATTCTGAGGTTCCTAGTGCCAGAGCCCACTGTATTTTTAGGGACTCACAAGTTACAAACAAAATATGGTAAGGAGGAATCACTGAAGCTTTAACACAAGAGACTTACATTTTGTTCAATTTCTATCTTTTGGTTTATTTCCTAAGCATAAAGAAATACTTTGAAATTCTTACATAGCATATTTAATTAAGCATGAGCACATCTTAAAATTTTAAATTTTAGATCAGATCTTTAATTCCTAAGATATTAAGAGGTGCTGGCAATTTGGCCAGGCGTGGTGGCTTATGCCTATAATCCCAACACTTTGGGAGGGTGAGGTGAGGAAATTGCTAGAGCCCAGGAGGTGGAAGGTAATGCACATGGAGGCTGAAGGCATGCTCAAATTGTAGGCAGCCGGGCAAGGAATAGAAACCTTGTCTGCAAAAAAAAAAAAAAAAAAAAAAAAGAAGAAGAAGAAGAAGAAGAAGTATTGGCAATTAGTGCTCCAAGAATAATTTCCTGACTTGAAATAAACCTACATGTAGACAAACTAATTAGGCCATTCCAAGAGTTACTAGCATTGGTTTAATATGTTTTCAGAACATTCCAGGAAGCAGTGTGGCCAGCCTTGCATGTTTGATACTTCAGAAATGTATGAAAGGTGTTTCTCTTACCCAGGTCTTCTATTCTCTCAGTTTTGCTCATATAAATATTTATGAACATCCTCATCTTTTTGAGGGAGGGGATTATAGATCATTCTAATTCCATTTTCTAGCATTTGATACCATTCTAAGCACATAATAGGCACCTATTCGGAGCATTTTTGGTTTGATAGAATATGCATTTAGAATTGTTCAAATTAGAGGTGTCAATGATGGAAATTAGAATCCTATATAATTTTAAGTCATTTGACTTAAATACATAATAATGATTTTCCTTGGTGGGGAATGGTGAAGGGAGGTGGGAGTTAAGGAGAGGAGAAGAGATCCTAAGTCATTTATAAACTTCTCTGGAAACACAGGTGTTTGAAGACTTTTTAAAAAGTCTTGCACCAAGTTGTGTGTGTGTTTTAAATAGACTTTGTTTTTTAGAGCAGTTTTAGGTTCACAGCAAAATTGAATGGAAGGACAGAGATTTCCCATAAACCCCCTGCCCACACACATGCATAGCCTCCCTCATTATCAAAATCGCCACCAGAGAGGTGTTTGTTCTAGTTGATGAACCTACACTGACACATCATTATTACCCAAAGTCCATAGTCCACAGCAGGGTTCACTGTTGGTGTACATTCTATGGGTTTCAGCAATGTATAATGACATGTATCCATCATTATAGTAACATACAGAGTATTTTCAGTGCCCTACAAATTCCCTGTTCTCCACTTATTCATCCCTCCCTCTCTGCATTTCCACCCCCATTTCGTGGTAACCGCTGATCTTTTTACTGTTCCATAGTTTCAGACAATCTGTGTTTCAGACAGACACAGAGCTGTCTTTCCCTTAGTTTCCATTCTGTCATTTCTTTTTCCCCATCAATCATAAAAGGCTATGAGTTTTTTAAAGTGTGGAACACTATCCTACTTGTCAAGTTAAAACATAAGCTCCTGGCTGGTTACAGTGGCTCATGCCAGTAATCTCAGCATTTTGGGAGGCTGTGACAGAAGCATCACTTGAAGCCAGGAGTTCGAGACCAGCCTGGGCAACATAGCATGACCCCATCCCTACACACACACACACACACAAACACACACACGCACACACACACACACACACACAAAAGCTCTTGCCAGAATTACAGCTGAAAGTTGCCCTCAGGTGCCTAGACCATCAGTCTTTCAATTAGATTCAGATTGAGATGCTTCCTGTTTTAAACAATGATTCCCTTTCTATCATGCCCAATAAGAAAAAAAATAAAAATTAAACAATACTGTCTGTAATCTCAGCTACCCAGGAGGCAGAAGCACAAGAATTGCTTGAACCCAGCAAGCAGAGGTTGCAATGAGCTGAGATCGCGCCACTGCACTCCAGCCTGGACAACAGAGCAAGATTCTGTCTCGAAAACGAAACAATATGATTTCCTCCTCTAAGTCTTCCACAGACAAATGTTAAGAAATAGGTCCACCAGGAAAGAAGGAAGTAAGAATGTTTGACTAGATAGTCTTGGAAAAAATAGTTATACTTTCTTGCTTGTCTTCCTAACAGTTCTCCAAAGCTTCGTACCTTGGCCAGAGGCTTGTCCCCTGCGTACCTGAGGTTTGGTGGCACCAAGACAGACTTCCTAATTTTCGATCCCAAGAAGGAATCAACCTTTGAAGAGAGAAGTTACTGGCAATCTCAAGTCAACCAGGGTGAAAATTTTTAAGGATTAACTCTATATTTTAAGTAACGTCAGTCTGTCATGAGAATGCTTTGAGAAAACTGTTATTTCTCACACCTAACAATTAATAAGAGATTAACTTCCTCTCCCCTCATCTGACCTTTGGAGGAACCTGAACAAAAGGAGGAGGCAGTGGGCAGGTTTCCTCAGCATGATGTTTGTCATGTTCAGTGTGAGACCTCACAAAAAAAAAAAAAAAAGATGTCCTGGATATAACTGAGAGCTCATCGTACTGTAAATATTAATAGAACAGTGATTGTAGCTGAAGGACAGAGCTGCTTGGAGAGAGCAAGTGGGTAGAATCGCATCAAACTAAAGAGAGTATTTCTAGCTGAAGATACAATGATAGATTGAAGGATATTTATTCTAAAAATAGAATGTGGGTGAAAGAGATCCATGATCACCTGGGTGAGTTTAAATATTTGGACTTCTGGGCTCCAACGTTAGATTCTGATTTGAGCAAGTTTTTCAGGGGATTCTGATATTGAAAGTCTGTGGCCTTCACCTGAGAAACCTGCCCTAGGGAGCCATGAAAATTTGTCCTGTCTTTCAGAAGTGCTATCAGACATCAAATGGTAGTTAAATCATATCTTAACAATTACTAGGATGGGCGCAGTGGCTCACACCTGTAATCCAAACACTTTGGGAGGCTGAGGCAGGAGGATCACTTGAGCCCAGGAGTTCAAGACCAGCCTGGGAAACATAGAGAGACCCTGTCTCTATTTTTCAATAATTTAAAAAGAAAAAAATACTGAAAATATTGTATACACCATTGAATTATAATAACATGTATATAATGTATATATTATGAGGAATATTTGAGTATTTCATATATTATATCTTTTCCTTCTGTTTATTTTCTCCAGTTACGAAGTATTTAGAGCAATTCATCAGTATTTGGGGCTAAATTGACAGAATAGTAATTAGAGAAAATAGAAAAATGACAGATGGGTTCTCCTTGAATACCAGGTTGGAATGTTTATGAGCTTGTGTTTTGTTTTGGGGGTGGTTTTTTTCAACAGAGTCCCACTCTGTTCCCCGGGCTGGAGTATAGTGGCACAATCATGGCTTACTGCAGCCTTGACCTCTTGGGCTGAAGCAGTCTTCCCACCTCAGCCTCCTGAGTAGCTGGGACCACAGGTGCATGCCACCACACCCGACTAATTTTTAAATTTTTTGTAGAGACGGTCTTTCTATGTGATCCAGGCTGATCTCAAACTCCTGCACTCAAGTGATCCTCCTGCCTTGGCCTCCCAAAGTGTTGGGATTATAGGCATAGCCACCATACCTAACCTAGTTTCTGTTTAGACTTAACCCTTTCCCACCAGCCATGTGTGTCCACAAGATCTCATACGTTTAGACAGGAAACTGTTCTTTGCTCATCAGTTGTCTTCATCCTGTGTCTAGGAGGATGGTTGGTGGGGGAAACTGGGGTTATCCAAGTTCCTCTGAAACATCCTCTGTGAGCCCAGGGATGGATGAGGCATCAGCCACCAGCAAGTCAGTGTGCAGCTTTCCAGAAAGGAAGTCATCGGTCAGTCAGCCGGCCCTGGCAGCCAGCACCCAGTGACCCTGCTGTCTTGTGATAAAGAAATTATCTGCCTGACAGGATGGGGTGAATTTTTCTTTTTTCTTTCTTTTTTTGAGACAGGGTCTGGCTCTGTCGCCCAGGCTGGAGTGCAATGGTGGGATCTTGGCTCACTGCAGTCTCTGCCTCCCAGGCTCACGCCATCCTCCCACCTCAGTCTCCCGAGTAGCTGGGACCACAGGCACACACCACCACACCCAGCTAATTTTTTGTATTTTTAGTAGAGACAGGGTTTTACTATGTTTTCCAGGCTAGTCTCGAACTCCTGAGCTCAAGCTATCCATCCACCTCGGCCTCCCAAAGTGCTGGAATTACAGGTGTGAGCCACTGTACCTGGCCAGGGTGGATTTTTTTCAAGTGCACATGTTGTGGTCCCGGAAGTTTTGATGGTACCAAATTCAAAGGGAAAAAACGTCAACGGTTCCCACCCATCCTACCTCCCATGATGGCAAGAGGAAATCACCACACTGCAGATACAGTCCATGTAAAACAAATTGCTATGGATTTTGAAAGTGAACCTGAAGAGAACTGCACTGTGTTGTCTTCATTAGAGTTCTCTGGTAATGTCAAGCTTTTAAAATTTTTTTAGACAGAGTCTCGCTTTGTCGTCCAGTGTCACCCAGGCTGGAGTGCAGTGATGCGATCTTGGCTCACTGCAATCTCTGCCTCCTGGGTTCAAGCGATTCCCCTGCCTCAGCCTCCCAAGTAGCTGTATTTTAGTAGAGACGAGGTTTCACCATTTGGCCGGCTGGTCTCGAAATCATGACCTCAAGTGATTCACCCATCTCAGCCTCCCAAAGTGCTGGGATTATAGGTGTGAGCCACTGCGCCCGGCCAGTAATTTTAAGCTTCTGAGGAACCCTCTGAATTGTTAAATAACTTGGAGCTATGTCCAACATATCCATGTTCAGTGTGTGTTCAATATTTCTTAGGAAATCTGCCCTTGGTTGTTTTCTTTGTGGTGATTCATGAGCCGGCAAATTTGACACGTGTTACAGAATATATCTTTTCTCTGCTCTCCTACCTCATAACCAGAACTTAATTATCCTGCCTTAGTCACATAAATAGCAAACTAAATAAACACATGGGATTTCAGCCTGCTCACTGTGAAAACAGATCCTCTAAATGATCTCTCCCACTTGCAGATATTTGCAAATCTGGATCCATCCCTCCTGATGTGGAGGAGAAGTTACGGTCGGAATGGCCCTACCAGGAGCAAGTGCTACTCCGAGAACACTACCAGAAAAAGTTCAAGAACAGCACCTACTCGAGTAAGAAATGAAAGGCACCCTAGAGGTGTTCCAGCCCCAAAGATATTTGAATAGATTGGACTCGGGCACCGATCTAGCAAGTCCTACAGAAGTTGTATAAAGCTGAAAATACTGAAGCATTTCCCAAACAGGAAATCCTGAACTCAAAACTTATTTTGTTTTTTTTCTTCATCTGACATTGCCTAGTAGCCACAGAGTGAAAGATAAATCAATCATTCATGATCTAACAACGACCTTCACTGCTCTAAAAAACTAGGCAGTCAAGGAAAACATGAATATATTCCTTATGTAAAATTCAAATACAGACATATAAAGGGCAAAATGTGAACATCATTCATACCTTGCTGTCCGTCCCCCTCCCAGAAATAACCCCCACTATGCATTGGTTTAGAGCATTAGGCAGGAGGGCCCTGAGTCACTCCAGACAGCCTTGGCCACCAAGCAACATTCTCTTTTTGTTTCCTCTGTGGCTTCTACAAACACAGAGCTAGCTCAGCTACCCATTAGTGTATTTTCAGTCACTAAAACAGTCTTCCAGTCTTCAAATTAGGATGACATTGTCACATGGGGCTTTAAAGCGAGTGAAACAAGCAATCCTTATTTATTTATTTATTTTTTTTTGGAGACAGAGTCTCGCTCTTGTTGCCCAGCCTGGAGTGCAATGGCGCAATCTTGGCTTACTGTAACCTCTGACTCCCGGGTTCAAGAGATTCTCCTGCCTTAGCCTCCTATTCATTATGAAGAATATTTGATTATTCAGTTCCTGTAGGGTAAAGATATTACCCCCGATCATATTATTGATTATTGAGTAGCTGAGATTACAGGTGCCTGCCACCACGACAGGCTAATTTTTTCTATTTTTTAGTAGAGACAGGGTTTCACCATGTTGACCAGACTCCAGGCTGGTCTTGAACTCTTGACCTCAGGTGATCCACCCACCTTGGCCGCCCAAAATGCTGGGATTACAGGCATTAGCCACCGCACCTGGCCACAATCCTTTTTTAACTATGAAATATATTTTTATCTGAAGGTTCATGTTTATACCCAACTAAGGAATGATGTTGCCCCATATCTCAGTTAAAGAAATAACCTGCTCAGATACTTTAAACTGTTCTTTTGACTTTTGAAAATAAATTTTCTTGAAGTTACTGTACTTGTTTTGGTTAGTTAACATTATTCAAGTATAATAATAATTATACTTTAGTATATTTATATACTTACAAAGATAATAAATTATCCTTGTAAGATTTTGCTATGTACTACCTGGAGTTCAATGTATCAGATGGATTTCAAATTTATATACATTTTTTATGTATATGGTACAGAAAAAAAGGTGATCCATAAGAAATCAGAAAATAGCTCATATGCTAATAGCTAATGTTGTCCTCTAAAAAAACTTTTTTTTTTTTTTTGCATTTTTAAGAGGGGGATCTACTGTGACACTTTAATAAGTATAATTAATTATTGAATGGAGTTTGGCATAAGGCAGGGCCATTTCAGATCCCATTAAAGGAATGACATGTACCACAGAACCACAGAAGTAAGGTCACATTTGTAATAAATCATTCTCCTAGCTCTGCTAGGAGAAGACCCGGTTGTATTAGGTAATTAGTGGATTTGCTCTTAAAACACATGTCCCAGAAGATATAGGTAAGTCTTGGGGGGTCATATTAAACATTACACCAATTTATCTTAAATTTCTAAGACAGTTTTGCTACTTCACACGATCTTTCTGTTACCAAAATGGTAAGTTTCCAACTCCAAGACTTGGCTTTCATAGTTCCTACACCAGGGGAAATGCCTTCCTTTGCTAACTATGCAACTGGGTTAGTTAATGTAAGTCTGACTACCCTGTTGGCAATGCTAAAATATACAACAAATACAGAATTTTATTTGTATTTGTAAACATTTGATTTCCAGCTTGAAATTTTCAGTTTTCATGGGCACATCATGGAAACAGAAATCTGTGTTTAGTTTGGGCATCTACTCATTGCAGTGACAAATATTTTAGAAGCCAATAGGAGATTCCACACATTGTTGTGAACCTGTGGCTGAGGTTGGTAATGGCTGAGTGACATGGGGACATACCACAAAGGAAGAGGTAGCAAAAGGCTGCAGAGATAAGGACATGCTCATTGCTTAGCTAGTGGCCTGCACCCTTAAAACAGGTGTCCCAGACTGGGTGCAGTGGCTCATGCCTGTAATCCCAACCCTTTGGGAAGCTGAGGCGGGTGGATCACCTGAGGTCAGGAGTTCGAGAGCAGCCTGGCCAACATGGTGAAACCTCGGCTCTACTAAATATACAAAAATTAGCCAGGCATGGTGTTGGGTGCCCATAATCCCAGCTACTCAGGAGGCTGAGGCAGGAGAATCACTTGAATTCGGGAGGCAGAGGTTGCAGTGAGCTGAGATTGTGCCACTGCACTCCAGCCTGGGCGACAGAGTGAGACTCTGTCTCAAAAAAACAAAAACAAAAAACAAACAAAAACAATACAAAACAAAAAAGCAAAAAACAAAACAAAAAAGCAAGCGTCCCAGAATATATAGTACGTTTTCTAACACAGGGCTTCTTGAATGGTGTGTTCCACTTAAGTAGAAGATGACAAAAACATTTGTCATGAGAATATAGACTCATATTTTAAACCTGTTTGAGCAGGAAAAGGAAGCAATGTTACAGATGTAATGCTGGGTGTGACTGCAGAAAGGATGACTCCCTTATTAAAGTAATCATCCTGAGTGAGCTAACTCTTTGTAGTTCTTCTTCTCCACCTGTTCCCCTCATCACCCCATTCTTCTGTTGCCTACACCCAGGCCTACACTGGATGCTGACATAGACTTACACGGTACAGTCCAAGGCAAAGAATCTGCCATTTTTTTCAATGTCTCATCTTGCTTATCTTCATTCCAAGGATCTCTCCACTCTTTATACAGTAAGAGATGAGAGTTTGGAAAAGTGTTGGGAATAAGATAAAGAATTGTAAGTTTTTAAATAGTTCTTCCTATTTTGGGGAAGGAGTAGGCTAGGTGGCTTTTTTTTTTTCTTCCGAGTAGATGTGGCCAGACATGGTGACTCATGCCTGTAATCCCAGCACTTTGGGAGGCCGAGGCAGGTGGATCACTTGAGGTCAGGAGTTCAAGACCAACCTGGCCAACACAGTGAAACCCCGTCTCTACTGAAAATACAAAAACCAGCCAGGCTTGGTGGCATCCACCTGTAGTCCCAGCTACTCCAGAGGTGGAGGCAAGGAGAATCGGGAGGCAGAGGTTGCAGTGAGCCGAGATCGCGCCATTGCACTCCAGCCTGGGTGACAGAACGAGACTCTGTCATGGAAAAAAAAAAAAAAGAAAAAAGAAAACAAAAGGAAAGAAAAAAAGAATGGATTTGAACGCAGTCGTCAATAGCCTCTATTCCAGGAGATGTTACAGTTTATTATGTTACAGGGGTTGTATAATAGAATTTCAAGCTATGTAAATTCCAAGCACATTTGGAAGAATGAAGAAATGGAGGAAGGGTAAAGTATGAGTGCAAGCATTCCAGGTTTTTTGAAAATGTTATAATCTTTGTACAGGGCTAGTACAAAGTGCTATTTAACTGTAAGGGTTTTTTTGTGATTTACAGACAGTTTTCACATGTCTCATTTCAACCTTGGTTTTACAGGTAGGCATGTGATGGTGCTTGTCCCAGGACTGTAGACCCATAGCTGAGGTTCCTGTCGGGTAAAGATATTACCTGCGATCATATTATAGTCTGTAAGTGGGAGAGCTATGCCTGGAGCTCAAGTCTTATGATTCCTGATCCAGGGCACTTTCTACAACATGATTTTGAAATATAAAAGCCTATAATATGTAAGGCTATTATAATGAAATATAAAAGCAGGTCACTCACTCCTTGTAACAGGCTCTAGTAATGGTACTACCGCCAAATGGCTGTGTGATATTGGGCAAAGACTTACCTTGTTTGGATTTCAGTTTCCTCCTAGAAAAATGAGGGTGGAGGTTAAGCACGGGCTGGTGATCCCAAAGCCTCCATACTGCCCAAAACTGTGGCTCTAAGATCCAGTAGAATTCTGGGTCACAGGACTCTAGGGAGCTTTTCAAACCCAAATGTCTGTCATTCCTTGATGGTAGGCAGCAGTTTATGGAAGTGGGTGACACAGCAAATACCAAAACACCTAAAGCAGCTTGCAAGAGTTGTTTCTGCCTAGTGGTCTTTACAGCTAATATTAAATAGTTAATTTTTTTTTTTTTGAGATGGAGTCTTGCTTCGTCACCCAGGCTACAATGCAGTGGTGTGATCTCAGCTCACTGCAACCTCTGCCTCCTGAGTTCGAGCAATTCTGTCTCAGCCTCCCAAGTAGCTGGGACTACAGGTGCATGCCACCACACCCAGATAATTTTTGTATTTTTAGTAGAGATGGGGTTTCACCATATTGGGCAGGCTGGTCTCGAACTCTTGACCTCAGGTGATCCACCTGCCTCAGCCTCCCGAAGTGCTGGGATTACAGGCGTGAGCCGTCGTGGCCAGTCTAAATAGCTAATATTTAATATTATACTATGTTATTCAGGCCAAAGACTTAAAAACAAAACAAAAACAAAGCCACTTTTAAGGAGAAAGGGTGTAAGTTTGCCAGATAGATAGAGGTCTTTTTTTTTAAACTACAAAAGTTCAGGAATGAATTACTCTTTAACAAACGACTGTAGATATACATGAAAATTGGAAGGACGTATTATGCATATGATAATCAATTTAAAGACAACACTTAAAATTATATTATTGCCACTCTCAAAATGTGATAATAGAACAGCTAATGGTTTAAAAAGCAGAGTACAGACGTTCCCAAACTTATGGTACCTTAATATCACAGAAAATGTTTTTTACAGCACACGTAGGCCACAAAAAATACCTGTGTTTTGATTATTAAATTGTAAGGTCTACACCTTACAGTAGTAGGTCTTAATACTACACCTAATAGTAATAGGTCTTACGTTGTCCAGTAGATGTTGATGTTTTTCCCTTGCAAACTTAAAAGAGCCTATAGTGCCTCTGTGAATAGTATTGCCTGGTTAGAGTTGAATTTCAGATAAATAATTCTTTTCATTTTAATTATTTTTCTTTTCTTTCTTTTTTTTTTTAAATTTTGAGACAAGGTCTCATTCTGTTGCCCAGGCTGGAGTGCAATGGCATGATCATGGCTCACTGCAGCCTTGACCTCCCTGGGCTCAGGTGATCCTCCCACCTCAGCCTCCCAAGTAGCTAGCTGGGACTACAGGTGCTTACCATCATGCTCAGCTAATTTTTGTACTTTTTGTAGAGATGTGGTTTTGCCATGTTGCCCAGGCTGGTCTTGAACTCCTGGGCTCAATGATCCACCCGCCTCGACCTCCCAAAGTGCTAGGATGACAGGCATGAGCCACTGCACCTGGCCCCTGTGTTAAGTATTTCTTAACGGTTACATAGGACATACACTAAAAATTATGTATTGCTTATCTGAAGTTCAAGTTTAGGTGCCCTGCACTTTTAGTTGCTAAATCCTGCCACTGTACCCATGCATTCACTGGTACTCCCCAACTTGCCTTGCACAGAGTTTGGAAACCACAGTCCTATAACTCTAGGCCAATTTTTTAATGTAAAATTTGATTCACTTTAAATTAATAAATCATATACAGGGATTTAAAATTGTTTTAAATATAATGGAAATTATTAAAATATTTTAAAACTTATGACTAGAGATATTTAGATTACAAAGAGTGGGGTTTATGCTAACTAATGACAGTCTGGCCATGCATGTGGAGCACTGAGCTATAAATTATGGCTTCCCCAATTCTCCTGATATCACTTGAACAAAACCTAAGTGTCAGACCAGAGCTTCTGGTCTCTTCCATGGGACTTCATTCAACAGCTGGAGCAAATGAAGTGAGACTGATTTTTTAAAATTTGTCCAATTTTGTTGTCTCATAAACATAATTATAATCATTTGTTAGAATTAGAATTTCTTCAGTTTAACAACAGAAATAGGTATTCATTACGAAAAGCACATCTGGAGGCCTTCCTCATCGTGGTGCCAATCTAACCATTAAATTGTGACATTTTTCTTTTAGGAAGCTCTGTAGATATGCTGTATACTTTTGCAAATTGCTCAGGACTGGACTTGATCTTTGGCCTAAATGCATTATTAAGAACAGCAGATTTGCAGTGGAACAGTTCTAATGCTCAGTTGCTCCTGGACTACTGCTTTTCCAAGAGGTATAACATGTCTTGGGAACTAGGCAATGGTAAGTACCCCAGGGAACAATTCATTAATAAGGAGATTCCCCACTAGCATTATTTCTTATGACATTCTTTTTAATATTAGCAAATAGACTTCTGCCTGGGCACATTCTTGCAAGTGCTCAACAATGCAACTTTTGGAAGTGCATATGGCAGAAAACTCCTACTGTATCTATTCCAAACCTATTATTGCCAATCCCAGTTTATGTTACATTTGAGGTGAGAACCAGCTGGAGTCAGCAACCTTCCCAGCTCCTAAATTCCCTTGAGATTTTCAGAATCACTTAACCCTATTTTGCTTGGCAGACTGGACTCAGCAAAACTGGGAAGTCAGCAGTTTGTTTTATCCATCCCTTCTTTCCTCAGTTTCTCAAACGTGTCAGCTAATCTCAGTAACCCCATTGCAACCTTCGTTTCTGGACCCAGTGATCTACAACCTGCCCGTATAGAATCCTACATGGGTCAAGCTCCTGATTGTCTTCACTCTTTTCTTGTAAAGAACTTGTAAATTTTAACTATAAGTCTTCATGATTCGCCACATGTATTCAAAACATAGAACAGGATTTTTCATAGAACAGGATTTTTTACTGTGTTACCCAGACTGGTCTCAAACTCCTGACCTCAGGGGATCCTCCCATCTCAGCCTCCCAAAATGCTGGGATTACGGGCATGAACCGTAACGCCAGACCTGGTTTTACTTTTCTTGACTTTGAATTACAAGTTTTTGTAATGTGGAAAATGTTTTGTTGCTTTTATATACTGCTGTATGTTTGCTTTTTAATACATTTCTCGATATATATATTTTGAGAATTGCTATCTTTCAGAACCTAACAGTTTCCTTAAGAAGGCTGATATTTTCATCAATGGGTCGCAGTTAGGAGAAGATTTTATTCAATTGCATAAACTTCTAAGAAAGTCAACCTTCAAAAATGCAAAACTCTATGGTCCTGACGTTGGTCAGCCTCGAAGAAAGACTGCTGAGATGCTGAAGAGGTAGGAACTAGAGGACGCAGAATCACTTTACTTTTCTTCTTTTTTCTTTTGAGACAGAGTCTTGCTCTGTCACCCAGACTGGAGTGCAGTGGTACAATCATGGCTCACTGCAACCTTGACCTCCCAGGCTCAAGCAATCTTCCCACCTCAGCCCCACAAATAGCTGGGATTACAGGTGCACACCACCACACCTGGCTACTTTAAAAAAATTTTTTTGTAGAGATGGGGTCTCCCTATGTTGCCCAGGCTGGTCTCTTGAATTCCTATGCTCAAGCTATCCACCCACCTCAGCCTCCCAGAGTGCCAGGATTACAGGCATGAGCCACCACACCCAGCCACCACTTTTCTTAAAAAAAAAAAAAAATCTGATAGACAATCCTCAATAGTCCACATGTTATTAAACAATTTGCTGCCTGCAAACATGATTTACCAAAAGAGGAAATTTTGACAGGTTCAGAATATCAAGGGATCTGAGGCAAATGGCACCTATGATAAAATTTGCTATCAAAATTAGGAAGTTTGTGTTTACCTCATCCTAAAGCAGTAACCAGCCCATTTCTAGGGAATAAAACTCTCATGCATATATTGTGCATATATATGTATTATCATATGATGACTGAGTGATACTAAAAATTTTTTTTCTAGCTTCCTGAAGGCTGGTGGAGAAGTGATTGATTCAGTTACATGGCATCAGTAAGTATGTCTCCTATTCTTAATACTAGGAAAGTAAGGCTAGCTTTATTTATTATCTAGTATTCAAAAAGTTAGTTCCATTTAACTGCCAATTGACTGCAGTTCAAATAGGAAACAAATAGTGTCTCAAGTAGCACTGTGCTCCAATTTTAATATTAATAAAACGAAAATTTAAAGTTATTTTAAATAATGTAGTAATTTCTATAAAGATCACTTTATACAGAAGAACAGTGCCAATTAACCCATGGAACATATAAGTAGCTAACACCAATTGCTTGCCAAAGAACCAGTAATCCAGGAGTACATGTACTTGCCACTGTGTTTTTTCAAGACAGAGTAACTGATTTCTAGTTACTTGCATAGAATGGATTCCTCCTCATAACCCCCTTCCATCTTCGTCTTTCCCTAGTAGAACTTCTACCTTTTTTAGTAACAGGTGAGCGGGAGAGGTAAGAAGAAGAATAAGGTCAGCAATTAGCTTAAAAGCAGAAAATAAAGTTTGTTATTTTTTTCTGAATATTTTCTGTATAATTTAGCTACTATTTGAATGGACGAACTGCTACCGAAGAAGATTTTCTAAATCCTGATGTATTGGACATTTTTATTTCATCTGTGCAAAAAGTTTTCCAGGTAATAGTCTTTTTAACATTTTTAATGTAAAACCAGAATCCTTATTTTATAGGCTAGCTAGTTCTAAATTCTATAGGTATGTATATTTACATGTTTTTCTAATTTTAGAGAACAAGTATTATGACTTATCCACTGTTAGTTTCCCCCTTAGCATTGGGTCTTACCCCATGTGTGTGATTAGAAACTTGAAATATTTCCAATAGCCTTTAGTAGAATTAACTCTCATAGATGATAAGAATGGGTTGGTTCACTTCATATTCCTTCCACAGCCTACTATTTCAGTAAAAGAAAATTTCCCATTAAATGACTGTGGACATATTTTATAACCATATAGGATGGGTAGGTCTAGGAATACAAAGTTTTGAATGTTGTTAATCTTCAACACCACAGTTGAAGCCACAGATCAGCTTTTTTGCAATTACCATGAATACTTTTCTGTTCTATAGGTGGTTGAGAGCACCAGGCCTGGCAAGAAGGTCTGGTTAGGAGAAACAAGCTCTGCATATGGAGGCGGAGCGCCCTTGCTATCCGACACCTTTGCAGCTGGCTTTATGTGAGTGAAGCAGCGCTGGCCTTAGGGGTCAGAGTGCAGCTCTTCTCCATCCTTCTATTCCGCTGAAATAGTTCCCCAGCCAAAAAGCAGATCAAAGACCGTTTCAGTGACTGAGCCCCAAAATTCATGCCAGATTTTGCAAGAAAATGATTTACTAAAGCTTGATGGACATCTTTGACAAGTGTCCTAAATCAATCACTATAAGGATAAATTGTTTTAGAAATTTTGTCCTTTAATTATGGCCCATAAATATGTCAAGTAGTCCTTCCTCTAAAGAAGTACGTTGTAAAATAATGCATATAGCCAGATACGGTATTTTCCTGTAATCCCAACACTTTGGGAGGCCAAGGTGGGAGGACTACTTGAGCCCAGGAGTTTGAGGCTGCAGTGAGTTATGATGGTGCCACTGCATTCTAGCCTGGGCAACAGAGTGAGACCCTGTCTTTTTTTTTTTTCCCTCTGCCACCCAGGTTGGAGGGCAGTGTCACGATCTCACCTCACTGCAACCTCTGCCTCTCGGGTTCAAGCGATTCTCCTGCCTCAGCATCCTGAGTAGCTGGGACTACAGAATTATCACCGCACTGGGCTAATTTTTATATTTTTAGTAGAAACGGGATTTTGCCATGTTGCCCAGGCTGGTCTGAAACCCCTGAGCTCAAGTGATCTGCCTACCTCAGCCTTCCAAAGTGCTGGGATTACAGACATGAGCCACCACGCCTGGCCACACCCTGTCTCTTAAAAAAAAATGCAAGTTAGAGCATATTACAGCTTTGTCTCTCAGGAGGATACTTAGTGTATGTAGCTATAATTTATAGATTCCCAAGAAGTTTAGAGCCTAAAATATGAGGTCCCACCAGAGGGGCTATCATTGAATTTAAAGATTTATTAAATCATCTCATTATCCAACACGACAAACTTGATTGCTTTAAAATACTGGTTTAGTTACATTTAGTAACTCTGTTAGTGCTTTTAGTCTGTAGTGCTATATCCTCACATTGAGATTTGTTTCTCGGCTGGGCGAGGTGGCTCATGTCTGTAATCCCAGCACTTTGGGAGGTCGAGGCGGGCGGATCACAAGGTCAGGAGTTCGAGACCATCTTGGCTAACATGGTGAAACCCCATCTCTACTAAAAATACAAAAAATTAGCCAGGCGTGGCGGCATGCACCTGTAGTCCCAGCTACTCAGAAGGCTGAGGCAGGAGAATGGTGTGAACCCGGTGAGCCGAGATTGTGCCACTGCACTCCAGCCTGAGAGACAGAGCGAGACTCCGTCCCCCTCCCCAAAAAAAAAAAGAAAGCGAGATTTGTTTCTGTTTTCTCTTCCATCTTCATTCTTTTTTCTCTCATCCTCATTCTTATAAGCCTAGAATAAACCGCAAATCCTTTATGCCCATGGAAGCATGAGGAATAAAGAATGGAGATGTTTGTTTTGCCATTAACTAAAGATCTGGGGTGTCGGGGAGAGGGGGATAGAGAAGGAGAAGTGGAAAGAGGTGGCCATAATAGCTTAGGTGCAATTCTGCTTATTTTACATTTTACCCTTGCTGACGGCAACTTTTTCTTCAGCCCTCACACATTGTTTGTGCAGGGACCTCATAGGACCAGGAATTGTCTATAGGGGTGGGAGTGTGTCTACTTTGCTTTGTGGAAGTTGTCTCACCCTGAAAGGGATACCTCTAGCATGGTAATAGTCTTCTCGGATTTGTTATCGTATGGAAAGATGTAAAGGGAGGGATTCTGCTGCTGCTGCTGCTGCTGCTGCTGCTGCTGCTGCTGCATGCAGTCGCCATTTCATTTAAATGACTTATTTATAATTGATGACACTTTTCTGGCTTCCTGATAATTCCTCCCTCAAAGATGAATAAATCAGAACCAGACATGATGGCACACACCTGTGGTCCTGTAACCGCCCAACGGATTCACCTTGCCTGCTGTCTAAATAGAGCCGATTATCAAGACAGGAATTGCCATGGAGAAAGAGTAATTTATGCAGAGCCAGCTGTGCAGGAGACCAGAGTTTTACTATTACTCAAATCAGTCTCCCCGAACATTTGAGGATCAGAGTTTTTAAGGATAATTTGGCGGGTAGGGGCTTAGGAAGTGGAGAGTGCTGATTGGTCAGGTTGACGATAGAATCACAGGGAGTGGAAGTGAGGTTTTCTTGCTGTCTTCTGTTCCTGGATGGGATGGCAGAACTGGTTGGGCCAGATTACCAGTCTGGGTGGTCTCAACTGATCCATCCAGTTCAGGGTCTGCGAGATATTTCAAGTGCTGATCTTAGGTTTTACAATAGTGATGTTATCCCCAGGAGCAATTTGGGGAGGTTCACACTCTTGGAGCCAGAGGCTGCATTACCCCTAAACCATAATCTCTAATGTTGTAGCTAATTTGTTAGTCCTGCAAAGGTAGACTGGTCCCCAGGCAAGAAGGGGGTCTTTTCAGAAAAGGGCTATTATCAATTTTGTTTCAGAGTCAAACCATGAACTGAATTTCTTCCCAAAGTTAGTTCAGCCTACACCCAGGAATGAACAAGGACAGCTGAAAGGTCAGAAGCAAGATGGAGTCAATTAGGTCTGATCTCTTTCACTGTCAGAATTTCCTCAGTTACAATTTCTGCAAAGGCGGTTTCAGTCTCAGCTACTTGGGAGGCTGAGACAGGAGGATCACTGGAGCCCAGGAGTTTGAGGTTGCAGAGAGCTATGATCACGCCACTGCACTCCAGCCTGGGCAACAGAGTGAGACCCTGTCTCTAAATAAATAAATAAATAAATAAATAAATAAATAAAATCAAGATGGTGTGCAATTAGAATTGAGCAATTTTGTTTCCAAACCTGAAGAAAGCTTGGTCTCGCTCTGTCCCAGGTGGCTGGATAAATTGGGCCTGTCAGCCCGAATGGGAATAGAAGTGGTGATGAGGCAAGTATTCTTTGGAGCCGGAAACTACCATTTAGTGGATGAAGACTTCGATCCTTTACCTGTAAGTGACCATTATTTTCCTAATTCTAGTAGAGCAGATTAAAGTCAACTCAGGACCCCTGGTGTTAGCCTCCTATGAATAGTCAATCCTCTCAGTAACTAGCCAAATCATGAGATGATGAATTAGAAGGAGCCTTAGATATCAACCAATCTAATATTTTTTGTGTGTGTTTGAAGAGAAGAAATCAAGAGCTAGGAATAACTTTTTAAATGTAAGCCATTTGCGGTATAGTGTGGATTTTGTTTAAAAGGGGATAATTTGAAATTTTATGACTCATTATATAAGATAAAACAAGTTGGATTTTTAAATATTTTACAAAGTAAATCAAAGTTATAATTGCCTACAGTAATGCAAAGCTTCAAAACATTTTTTGTTATGAAATTGTGATTTATTTAACCTTAAAATGAGCCAGTACCATGTGCTTAAAAATCTCATGCTAAGAATTTACTATTTTGTTAATAATCTTCAAGATATTTATGAATGAAGTCTCATGTCTAATCCTTCCTCCAACCTCATCTGGTGCTAAATCAGGAAATGTTTCTTCCCAAAAAGCCTCGTGGAAGATCTGTATGTCTAAATATATGTCAGGGATAATACAGATGTAGCCCTGAGAAGCATGACCTTGATTTTTATAGTCTAAAATGTCATTTGCAGATATCTATTTTCTAAGAATAATTCCTAAAATAATTATTTGAATGTTGTAGGAAAGCTAAGAAATTTTGCAGAGAGCCTATGTGAAAATATAAGCTAGGCTTTTGTGGTTTGTGGATAGACTTCCCAACAAAATTGCTTTTTATCTATAGTGGCCCAAGCTTGTGGAACATATTACTCATCCTTTTTTAGAAAATTCTTCGAAAAGTGACCTTGCAAAATGGAATTTATCTTTCCCCAAGTATATTCTGTCATCTATAGAGTTAAACTAAGCATAGTAATTTCACTAGACAAACATTCAAAATCTACTCCTCACCTTTTTATCTCATCCAAATTTTTCCAGGGCCTAGACATAAACCTTTGCCTTACAAACTCTTTGCATATACACTAAATGTGCTTCTCCTTCAAGGTTCTCAATCAGTTAGAAAAAGGTGCAAGAGTAAATGGTACCCTTGACACTTGTACATCCAAGGGGATTAGGCTTAAACTCACTCTACATGTCTGTGAATTTATTTTATTTGCATGACAGTCCTGTGAGGTGGCAAGGCAGGTATCTTGGATCCATTTTTTAGATAAGGAAGTTTAAATTAAGAAGAGGTTACCTGATTTACAGGAAGCCACACTGTAGTCCTACGTTACTCTTAAAACTCCCATTCAGATCTTGCCTCTGAGGCCCGCACACTTTCTACCCTACCAGTCATTGACCCATGTGTATGTCTCCTTTGAAAACATTGATTCCACTCTTGTCTCCAGTGAAAAAGTGGAATTTAAGCAGAGAAACGAAAGCCATTTGTCTTGTTAAGTCTACTTTCCCTTTACTTTCAAGAAGGAAAGTTGGGGTACATGTTGAATGATGATTTATGTATTTATTTATTTATTATTTTTAAAATTGAGACAAAGTCTCACTGTATTACGCAGGCTGGTCTTGAATTCCTGGGCTCAAGTGATCCTCCCACCTCAGCCTCCCAGTGTTGGGATTACAGGCATGAACCATTGTGCCTGCCACCGATCCGTGGTTTTTTAAGAAAAACTTTTACTGTAGAAAATTTTAATCATATACAAAATACAGAGGAAAGTATATGAATCCATTTTAGGAGACTAGAATATGCCACCCCAAAATATGCCACTTTGGCATAAGGATTATTTTGAGCTGAAGGCAACTGGGAAGAAACACATAGAAGAAAAGTTCTGTGTCCTCTTCCATTTGCCTAAAAGCAGGACATAAAATTTAAAAGTCCCCCTCCTTCCCTTTCTACCAGGAAAAACAAGAGTTAATCACTGAAGATAACTTCAGACCCTTATCAGTCTAAAGATGGCACTAGAAGAAACTATATTACATACTCATTTATTTTCCTTCCCACAACTTGCCACCCCTAGAGACTCAAAATCCTTTTCCTTTGTCATGTCTCTTGTCCAAAAATGTATTGTTCTTTCTTAAAGATGCTATATAAGCTGGAGTTCTAAGCCACCTTTTTGAAAATTACTTGTTCTGTATATATATACATACAGAAACTATATTTTCTGTATATATATATACACACACACGTATATATATATAAAATATATATACATATATTTCTCTATTTATATATACATGTATATATAAAATACACATGTTAATACACTTATGTTTGTTTTTCTCCTGTTTTCTGTCTTGTTACAGAGATCCATCCCAACTAAGAACTAACAGTAGAAGGAAAATTATATTTTCCTCCTGCATACTTTGATCTTGTTTGATCCATAATCCTTCCCACTTGTCACCTGCTACCTATTAGATTACTTTGAAGCAAATTTCAGATATATTACTTTATCTATATATATTTCAGTATGTGCTAGGTGTGGTGTTCACACCTGTAATCCCAACATTTTGGGAAGCTGAGGCAGGAGGATCACTTGAGCCCAGGAGTTCAAGACCAGCTTTGGCAACAAAGTGAGACCCCCTCGTCTCTATGAAAAATCAAAAAGTTATCTGGGCATGGTGGCACATGCCTGTGGTCCCAGCTACATGAGAGGCTGAGGCAGGAGGATTGCTTGAGCCCAGGAGGTTGAGGCTGCAGTGAGCTGCGTTCACACCACTGCACTCCAGCCTGGGTGACGGAGTGAGACCTCGTCTCAAAAAAAAAAAAATATATATATATATATATAAGTGTGTGTGTGTATATATATATATTTTAGTATGTATCATTTTTGTAAAAACACACTACTTTTATCATATTTTAAACATTAACAATAATTCCTTAGTATCACCAAATATTTTGTCAGTGTCTTACATTTTCCTTATTGTCTAAAATATTGTTGATAGTTTATTCAAATCAGAATCCAAACAAGGTTCATATATTGCATTTGGTTGATTTGTCTCTTAAGTTTGTTCATCTTTAAGTTCTTCCTCCCTTTCTTTCATCTCTTGTAATTTATTAATGTGAAAAAACAGGTAATTTGTTCTATAGTATTTCCTACATTCTGGAGTTTGCTAAATTTATTCGTGTGATATCATTTAGCATGTTCCTCTGTCCCCTATGTTTCCTGTAAACTAGTAGTTATACCTAGAAGCTTGAGTTTATTCAGGTTGTTTTTTTGTTTTTTTTGTTTGTTTGTTTGTTTGTTGCAAGAATGCTTTATTATGTGCTTCTGGAAGCACATAATGTCTGGTTGTGTCTGGTTTTGATCTTGATAGCTAGTGATGACCATTGCCTAATCCATTACTTCATTGGGGTGGGGGGAATAAGGTTTTAAATGAAATTTTTTTTCTTTTATTTAGTTTCCCAGGCTGGAGTGCAGTGGCGCATTATGGCTTACTGCAGCCTCGACCTCCTGGGCTCAGGTGATCTTCCCACCTCAGCCTCCTGAGTACCTGGAACTACAGGTGCACACCACCATACCTGGCTAACTTTTTGTATTTTTTGTAGAGAAGGGGTTTCATCATGTTTCCCAGACTGATCTTGAACTCCTGGGTTCAAGCAATCTACTCACTTCAGCCTCCCAAAATTCTGGGATTACACTTTGGCCACTGTGTCTGGCCTAAATGAAATTATTTGTCTCTTAGACAAAAGTTTTACTTTAAAAATTTGCCTTTGTGAGTGTGTACGTGTGTGTGTGTGTGTGTGTGTCTAAAAGGTTGGCTTTGAGCTTTGCTTTGAATTCTCAGATGAACGATAACCAAGGATACTTAAACTCTGATCATTCTTGACAGATATGCCCTAGAGGATATGGCCTTTTGAATTGTGTCCTCCAGTGCTAAACAGCAGCAAGCAAGATACTGCTGTCAGATTCATGGTGGTCACATGTGAGGAAAAAAAAGATGAATCCTATTTAAATGCTCCCAGGATAACAGTGATACTATTTGTAGGATAACTATTTGCTTGCCACTGGTTTTCTTAAATAAGGAAGTAACTAAAGATCTATTTTTGTCTCCAACCACCACAACTAGGATTATTGGCTATCTCTTCTGTTCAAGAAATTGGTGGGCACCAAGGTGTTAATGGCAAGTGTGAAAGGCCCAAAGAGAAGGAACCTTCGAGTATACCTTCATTGCACAAACATTGACAAGTAAGTATGAGACACACCCTTTACCAATCATCAAGTTTTAGTGGGTAAGCACATAACTTTACTCAAACACCCTGTTGCATGTATCTATACATTGCATAAGTGTAGGCGGTTGCAGTTTAGTAAAGTTTTATACAACGATTTTATTTTATTTTAGTTTTAAAAGAAAAATGATACTTTTATTGTTGTTGTTTTTTGTCACCCAGGCTGGAGTGCAGTAGTGCAATGTCAGCTCACTGCAACTTCTGCCTCCCAGGTGCAAGTGATTCTTGAAGAGGAGAACAATAATAACAACAATATTATTTTCAAAAGTTGTGACCGCAGTTTCTGGAGTTGAGAAGACATAGAGATTTTTGTAGCCTCATACTCTTGCTTTAGGTAGCAAAAAATGTTCCTAAATCTCAGGAATATTCTCTAGATAGGTTTCAATCTATCATTCCTGATAAGACGATACTGAAATACTAATTCTAACCAAAAAAGACCATCTACTATTTCCGATTATTGGTGACTGGGAACTCTGTGGATAGTGAGGACCCCAGTGGGAAGTAGCAAGGGGAATGGTTTGAATGGATAAATTCATAAGAAACGTCAGTAGATTTAATGTTCTTATTTGTTTCAGTCTTTTTATAAGGTTAGGAAAAGCCCCTGTTTTATTGTTTATAATGTGAATTCACATGAACCCATACAATTTGCCTTTTACCTTCCTATGTCTGTAAATGGATAGTCTGGCTGGCTTCCTAGCAACCTAGCTGGCAGAGCTGTGAGGATCTCAGCGTGCTCTAGCCCAGACATTGGAAGCATGAAGGGCAATGTTTTTAATCATGTTTTCAAAATAGGACCACACTAGTGGTCTAATATGATCATAAAAGAAGGATACTAAGAGCGCCCACTGTCATTATGGATCCTAATACTTAGGATGCATTATGGATTGTCATTATGGATACTAATACTTAGGATTCCATTTGTAATTGAGTTTTAATTGCTTAAATTAATAAATATTTTTATTGCTTGCTTTTAGTCCAATGTATAAAGAAGGAGATTTAACTCTGTATGCCATAAACCTCTATAATGTCACCAAGTACTTGCGGTTACCCTATCCTTTTTTTGACAAGCAAGTGGATAAATACCTTCTAAGACCTTTGGGACCTCATGGATTACTTTCCAAGTAAGTAATTTTCCTTGTTCATTCCAAACTTTCAATAAATTTGTTGGTGTTTATCAGAACAGAGAGTTTGGACAGGGAGCAAAAAACAAAGTCAGCTATTTCAAGTTCTAATAATTCTTCATATTCAGGAAATTTATGTATGAATACTTACTAATATGAGTATAACTCACCCTAAGAGTCTAAAGCAAAAGGATGTGAACACAAACTAGCAGTTATCTTAGAGAATAAGTGCATTTCAAAATAACTTGACATATCAAGATCCACTCAACGCATTTAAATTATTTACTCTAAAAAGACATAATTCTTGGTAACACATTCACTAAAGCAAAATATACCTGTATATAATTGCTGTTAAAGGTATGTGGGTTGGTATAAAATGTCATACCATGTGAGATCAGTGTGATTCTTTTATAGCATTAATTTTTATTGGTTAGAGTAAGAAAAAGAATAGCTACAATGTACTTCTTAAGTAGATTCTCATATATTTTGGTTTCAAAAACCAATTATTGACTACATCTTATAAAAGCCTGTATTCAATGGAGTGCCAAAAATGACAATGAGTCTTGAAGATTTAGACATATAAATATTTTGAGGTTTCTGTTCAATGTATGTTGGAAGGAGTTCCTTTCTCATGACTACTCTCATATTGGAACATAAAAAGAGTTTACAGGCTTGGAGCAGCGGCTCACGCCTGTAATCCCAACACTTTGGGAAGCTGAGGCGGGCGGATCGCTTCAGCCCAGGAGTTCGAGACCAGCCTGGGCAATATGGTGAAACTCTCTCTACAAAAAAATACCAAAATTAGCCAGGCATGGTGGCGCGTGCCTGTAGTCCCAGCTACTTGGGAAGCTGAGGTGGGAGGATTGCTTGAGCCCAGGGGGTCATGGCTGCAGTGAGCTGTGATGGTGCCTCTGTCACCCAGGCTGGGTGACAGAGTGAGACCCTGTCTCAAAAATAAATAAATAAATAAATATTAAGAGTTTACAAAATTCTCACCATCTCCTCCCATCTTTGCAAATGCCACATAAGTGATGTTTTCCAGGACTATTAGCCTCAGAACTTGAGGCAGTACAGTAAGCATGCTTTCTTCAAAGTCCTATCCCCCACAGATAAACATTATTAACACTGGGTACTGCTCTTTTATTTTTTTCCCTTCTATGCTTTATTTTATTATAACTATATAGTATATAGTTATATACTATATATATAGTAAAACTATATGCTTTATATTTACTAAATATAACATGTAATAGGAAAAAGGCAGGGTTGGGGGAAAGATCTGGAAGTCTTCCCAAGAGCCTTTCCAACATAGCCTCTGTAGACACTTTTTTCTTTTTTTCTTTTTTTTTGAGACAGAGTCTCACTGTCACCCAGGCTAGAATGCAATGGTGTGATCTAGGCTCACTGCAACCTCCGCCTCCCAGGTTCAAGCGATTCTCTCACCTCAGCCAGGATCCTTAGTACTTGGGATTACAGGCGCGCATCACCACGCCTGGCTAATTTTTGTATTTTTAGTAAAGATGAGGTTTCACTATATGGGCCAGGCTGGTCTTGAACTCCTGACCTCAGGTGATCCACCTGCCTTGGCCTCCCAAAGTGCTGGGATTACAGGTGTGAGCCACCATTTCCTGGCCCCTTTGTAGACATTTTTAATGGGCTGTATATTTTATAAAATACTACCATGGTTTAGTTAACCATTTTCCTACTGTTTAAATATTTTCTTCCCCTTGGTTGTAAATAATGCATTTTTGGGTAACAGATACTTTTTTCAATTTAGGTTCTGACCCTTTTTGAAATGGTTTTTTTGTTGTTGTTGTTTTTGTTTTTTTAGCATATTTGTGTTTGCTGCTGATAAAACATAATTTTCTGAAGTAATTGAATAACAGCTGTAGAGTTGGAAGCATCATAAGAGATCATTTTAGTCCAACTACCCATGGAAAGCCCTTCAGGGTGACTATTCTGTCTGGCAAGGATAAAGTGAGCCTCTCGGTGCCTTCACTTGCTGCTCTTAGTTCTGTTCTCTAGAGGAGAGGTGGGAAACTATACCTCATTCTTGTGGACAAGTTAGTTTGGAGGATTCCCCCCTCCCCTTTTTCTAGTAGGGGAGGTTGGCATGCACTTTGTGTTTTGTTTTTAGTTAAATGTCAGCATCGAAAAATTGACAGCTATTAAAATATCTGAATCTCCAGCTTTTCTTTAAAAATGGATACTATGGCAACTCTGGGCTTGCTTTCCCAACTAGCTGGAGTTGAATGGGGATTGTATACTTTAGACAGGTCATTCAGCTTTGCAGCTCTCTGCAGTCTCTTCCTGACCCTATTATCTTACATCTGTCCTACTGTTCTTGCACCTATCACTTTCTTGGCCTTTGTGTCATTTGAGTTTGCCACCCCTAATTTGGAGCAATGCTGAATACCTCATTTTCTCTGGAATAATTCCCAAGTGTTTGAAGGAAAATTGGATTGTCTTCACTTTAGGCTAACTATGACCAATTTCTCCAATGACTCTTCTTTTTGCTGTATTTAGTAGACCCTATTACTTTTTTTTTTTTTTTTTTTTTGAGGTGGAGTCTCGCTCTGTTGCCCAGGCTGGAGTGCAGTGGAGAGATCATGGCTCACTGCAACATCTGCCTCCTAGTTCAAGAGATTCTCCTGCCTCAGCCTGCCGAGTAGCTGGGATTACAGGCACCCACCACCACACCTGGCTAATTTTTGTATTTTTCAAAGAGATGGGGTTTCACTATGTTGGCCAGGCTGGTCTCGAACTCCTGAACTCAAGTGATCCACCCACCTCGGCCTCCCAAAGTGCGGGAATTACCTCCGTGAACCACCGTGCCCTGCCCCTATTACATTCTGATCACACATTTCATGTTTTATAATTGGAAAACTGGTGAAATTATAGACAATGTTTTATTCCCCTAAATTCTCTTTGATGAGTATATATTACTTATACTCTTCTTGTCTTTAAAATTTTGCAAAAAAGTATCCTAGATAAGTTTATGAGTGCACAGTCTGTATGCATGCTTGTATTAACAACCTCAGAGAGTTAAACAGCAGTCACCTTTAAAAATCATTACTATCATTATTATTATTTTTGAGGCAGGGGTATCATTCTGTCTCCCAGGCTGGAGTGTAGTGGTGCCATCACAGCTCACTGCAGCCACCACTGCCTGGGCTCAAGTGGTCCTTCCTCCTCAGCCTTCCGAGTATCTGAGACCACAGGCTTATGCTACCATACCTGGCTAATTTTTTAATTTTTTGTAGAGACAAGGTCTCATTATGTTGCGCAGGCTGGTCTCAAACTCCTAAGCTTAAGTGATCTTTCTCGGCCTCCCAAAGTGCTGGGATTACAGGCATGAATAACTGCACCCAGCCCTAAAAATTATTAGAGTCCTGCATAGTAAGTATTTAATAAATATTTAAATGAACTTTTTTTTTTTAAAAATAGAGACGAGGTCTCACTATATTGCCCAAGCTAGTCTTGCACTCCTGGACTCATGCAATCCTGCTGCCTTAGCCTCCCAAAGTGCTGGGATTACAGGCATGACCCACCTTATCTGGACTGAATGAACATACTTTTAACATAAAGGCAGTATTTTATATTTATCTCATAAATTTTGCCCAGTTTCCCCACTTCTGCTGAATCTGTTGCTTGCTAATCACTTCTAGCTTCATTTCATCTGAAATTTGACAAACATCTTCTATTTCTTTGTCATCATGTTATTGACTTCAGAATATAAAATAAGACACTATACCCAAATTAAACCCCATCCTCATTGCCCAGCCTGATGTGAAAATAATCAGCATACATTAAGCTTACCCTTGATAGATGTGTAACATCTTTTAGATAAATGTACAGCTGATTAAACAATATAGCCTAATGGTATAATATCTTGCCCATCTACCTCGTCTTATCCACAGCAGGATTAATTCGCAATGACCAGATTTACCTTTAAACTTTGTAGCAAAATATCCTCTCCAAGAGCGTATCTAAAACTTTTGTGTGTACTCTTGCAAAGTTCTTAATTTCATGCAGAACAGGCTCTTAACACTGTCAGTTGGAGATATTTTCAAGACCTGTTTTTGTTTGTGGTTTCCTGATGATGGTCATGGCATTTCCTCCTTCTCCCCATCTAAAAATTGAGGTGATACAGGCTTTTAAACAAAACCAACTCATGTAGACTGAGTACAACTGCAATGCAGGCATGTTAGCCTCTGCCACAATCATGCACATGCTACTGATATGTCTTAAGTTACAGAACCCAGGACTGAGCATCTCATTAGGTCAAAATGGAAACCAGTTTTTCTGCTCACTGATGCTTAATGAGGACAGGGTGTGAGAGATTTTTTTTAAGTGAAAAAATATATATAATAATGTTACATGGAAAAATATCTAACATTAGAGAATTAAGTAAATCATATACTCACACCATGGAATCCTGTGCAGACATTAAAATTAGGTAGTGGATGAATGTTTAATAGTGTGAGAAAAAGGATGTGCTGGGGCAGGGGGAAGAATCAAGTTTTAAGAAAATACAGTATACCCATACTTAAGTTAAAAAAAAAAAAAAGGTGTGTACAGTGATGTGTTGCTTAATGATGGGGATACCTTCTGAGAAATGTGTCGATAGGTGATTTCATCCTTGTGTGAACATCATAGAGTGAACTTACACAAACCTAGACGGTCTAGCCTACTATGCATCCAGGCTATATGACTAGCCTGTGGCTCCTACGCTACAAACCTGTAAAGCATGCTACTGTAGTGAATATACAAGTTATCATTGGGTTAAGTAGTTGTGTATCTAAACATAGATAACTAATATGTTGTGCTACAATATTACAATGGCTATGATATTGCTAGGCAATAGGAATTATAATTTTATAATTTGATGGGAGCACGCTCATATATGCGGTCCGTGGTGGACCAAAACATCCTTATGTGGCATATGACTGTATACATGTACATTAAAAAATAGATGAAAGAATGGATATACATCAAAATGTTTAAAATGGTTATGGTGACTTAGGTTACTTTTTGTATATTTATCTGAGTAATAATAATGATGATAGATAATACTTTTATAGTGTTTACTATATAAAGGACACTGTTGTCAGTGTTCTACATACATTACATATATTACATAAATGATATAAATATAACTCTGACAGTAACTAATCTTATACATTCTCCGTTGTTTTTTTGGTTCTTTTTTTTTTTTTTTTGAGGCAGAATCTCACTCTACCACCCAGGCTGGAGCGCAGTGGTGCAACCTCAGCTCACTGCAACCTCCGCCTCCCGGGTTCAAATGATTCTCATGTCTCAGCCTCCTGAGTAGCTGGGACTACAGGTGCACACCACCCACCACCATGCCCAGCTAATTTTTGTAGTTTTGGGTAGAGATGGAGCTTTGCCATGTTGGCCAGGCTGATCTTGAATTCCTGGCCTCAAGTGATCTCTGCCTGCCTCAGCCTCCCAAAGTGCTGGGATTACAGGTGTGAGCCACCGTGCTCAGCCTAATCTTACAAGTTTTCAATATTTAAAGAGTGCTAACTTGGTTCACAATATAAAACATATTTGAGGAAAAGGAATATAAGCATCTTATTTAGAATTATGAAAATATCAATAGATCTACAGCTGACTAAAACTTTTCTTCATAAGCTCTTGTCCATATGTTTTTGCTTCTGTGAATATGCATTAATTTGATTTAAATAATAATAAGTGTGTATAAGAAATAACATTTTTCCTTAATTTTTAAAAACATTCAACAGTTTTTAATTTGAATTCCAATAGTGAAATACATAGGAAATATAAAATGTTCTGTAGTTTAGCCAAATTGTTTTTGGTTCACCACAGCATTCTACCAAAATTTCTTAATAATAGTAAGAAAATGAATGCATTACCTCTGGCAGGGAGAGGGGAGTTAGACAGTTTATGGGCGTAGTTACAAGTGAGAAATTTCATTGGCTACCATTTATGCTAAATTCATAGAAACTGCATTCTATTCTACATATCTATTTGCTTTAGATGGAAATAGTTTCAATTATTGGCCATTAAATAAAATAGCCACCATTCCAGAAGGTGTGTCATGTTTATCCTTTTAATACCGCCATCATATTGCCTAGTATAGATTGTGTGTGTTCCATTTTCTGTAATGGGCCAGACAGTAAGTATTTCTGGCTTTGGGGTCCATATGGTCTCTATCATAACTACTCAAAAGATTATCTAGTCAAATGCCTAACTGATACAGTGTTGAAATACAAGTTATATAATATAGGCTGCCACACACACACACAAAAGTTTATTTGGTCTAATAAAGATTTCATGACTTTTGTAGGGGATAGGTGGGGCTTGCACCACTTGGTTAACTCGGTGTATCTTTCCCCTTTGCAGAGCTGTCCAACTCAATGGTCAAACTCTAAAGATGGTGGATGATCAAACCTTACCACCTTTAATGGAAAAACCTCTCCGGCCAGGAAGTTCACTGGGCTTGCCAGCTTTCTCATATAGTTTTTTTGTGATAAGAAATGCCAAAGTTGCTGCTTGCATCTGAAAATAAAATATACTAGTCCTGACACTGAATTTTTCAAGTGTACTAAGAGTAAAGCAACTCAAGTTATAGGAAAGGAAGCAGATACCTTACAAAGCAACTAGTGGGTGCTTGAGAGACACTGGGACACTCTCAGTGCTAGATTTAGCACAGTATTTCGATCTCTCTAGGTAGAACACTGCTAATAATAATAGCTAATAATACCTTGTTCCAAATACTGCTTAGCATTTTGCATGTTTTACTTTTATGTAAAGTTTTGTTTTATTTTTTATTTATTTATTTATTTTGAGACAGAGTCTCTCTCTGTCACCCAGGCTAGAGTGCTGTGGTGCAATCTTGGCTCACTGCAACTTCAAGCAATTCTCCTGCTTCAGCCTCCTGAGTAGCTGGGATAATAGGAATGTGCCATCACACCCAGTTACTTTCTGTATTTTTTGTAGAGATGGAGTTTTGCCATATTGGCCAAGCTGGTCTCCAACTCCTGTTCTCAAGTGATCCACCCACCTCAGCCTCTCAAAATGCTGGGATTGCAGGCATGAGCCACCACACCCAGCAGTGTTTTATTTTTGAGACAGGCCCTCACTCTGTTGCCCAGGCTGGAGTGCAGTGGTGCAATCTTAGTTCACTGCAGCCTTTTAACTCCTGGGCACAAGTCATCCGCCTGCTTAGCCTCGCAAGTGGCTAGGACCACAGACACATGCCGTCACACTTAGCTATTTTTAAAAATTTTTTTGTAGAGATGGGGTCTTGCTATGTTACCCAAGCTGGTCCTGAACTCCTGGACTCAACTGATCTCCCACCTTGGCCTTCCAGGTGCTGGGATTTCTTTGGGAGTACAACATGGTACAGCAGCAGATCATTTGATGTTACCTCTATGCAGTGTTGCTAGTCAGTGAAAGACTTTAATACCTGTGGGGACAGCGATTAGCCACCGCACCCAGTCCTTATTTAAAGTTACTAAAAATGGCTGGGCACAGTGGCTCACACCTGTAATCCTAGCACTTTGGGAGGCGGAGGCAGACGAATCACCTGATGTCAGGAATTTGAGACCACCTGGCCAACATGGTGAAACCCCATCTCTACTAAAAAATACAAAAATTAGCCGGGTGTGGTGGTGCACACCTGTAGTCCCAGCTACTTGGGAGGCTGGGGCAGTAGCATCGCTTGAACCCAGGAGGCAGAGGTTGCAGTGAGCCGAGATTGTGCCACTGCACTCCAGCCTGGGTGACAGAGCAAGGCTCCATCTCAAAAAAACGAAAGTTATTAAAAATGTATGTGAATGCTCCTAATATGGCCAGGAAGCAAGGAAGTGAAGGATATATTATGAGTTTTAAGAAGGTGCTTAGCTGTATATTTATCTTTCAAAATGAATTAGAAGATTCTAGAATTCTTTCCTTCATGTGCCATCTCTACAGGCTCCCATCAGAAAAAGTGTACTGCCATTACCGTGAAACTGGTTGTAAAAGAGAAACTATCTATTTGCACCTCAAAAGAGAGCTAGATTTTGCTGATTTTCTTCTTTTGGTTTGTCTTTGTGAGCAATAATATGTGAGAGGACAGATTGTTAGATGTGATAGTATAAAAAATGATTAATGACAATTCAGAGGGGAAGACATTCTATAAACTTAAAATTACTATAAATGAAATTGATTCATCAAGAGGATAAATTTTAGAAAACACCCAATACCTTATAACCATCTGTTAATATTTACTTTTTCTCTACCTTTAATCCTTGTTTCAGTTGGGAAGCTTTTGGCTGCAAGCAACAGAAACTCCTGATGCAAATGGCTTAAACAATAAGGAAATGTACATTCCCACATAACTAGATGTTCAAACAGGCCAGGCTCCAGCACTTCAGTATGTCACCAGGGATCTAGTTCTTCCCAGCTCTCTGCTCTGCCATCTTTAGTGTTGGCTTCATTCTCAGACTCTGGTAGCATGATGGCTGTACCTGTTCCAAGGGCCCACTTCAGACCTCATAGCAACCAGAGGAAGAAAATGAGTCATTTTTTTAGTCTCCTTCATAGACTTGAATAACTCTTTTTCAGAGTTTCTCACAGCAAACCTCTCCTCATGTCTCCTCATGTCTTATTGTTTAGAAATGGGTAATGTGGCCATTTCACCAGTCATTGCCAACAACAATGCGGTTCCTATAATTGTCTCTGAGTAATCCTTTGGAATGGAGAGGGTGTTGGTCAGTCTACAAACTGAACACTACAGTTCTGCACTTTTTAGCAGTGACAAAATGTAATATTTTCCCCTCTTAAGGATTAATATTCTTTATATTTATGCCTGTTATGAATATAGTATCTTTTAAATTTTTTATTTTAATAGCTTTAGGGGTACACACTTTTTGGTTACAGGGTTGAATTGTATAGTGGTGAAGACTTGGCTTTTAGTGTACCTGTCACCTGAGTGATGTACATTGTACTCAATAGGTAATTTTTCATCCATTAGCCCCCTCCATCCTCCTCCCTTCTGAGTCTCCAATGTCCATTATACCACTGTGTATGTCCTTGTGTACCTATAGCTGAGCTTCCACTTATAAGTGAGAACATGCAGTATTTGGTTTTCCATTCCTGAGTTACTTTCCTTAGGATAACAGCCCCCAGTTCCATCCAACTTGCTACAAAATACATTATTTTATTCTTCTTTATGGCTGAGTAATAGTCCATGGTATATATATATACACCACATTTTCTTTATCCACTCATCAGTTGATGGACACTTAGGTTAATTCCATTCAATTTAAGTACATTTTTAAGGAGCTAAAGCTGAAAATTAAATGTTAGATCTTTCAATACTCTTAAAGTTTATATGTAAGTGGTTTTTATATTTTCACATTTGAAATAAAGTAATTTTTATAACTTTGATATTGTATGACTATTCTTTTAGTAAAGCTAAAGCCTACAGATTCCTACATTTGGAAGCCTTGTTTTCCTTCACTGCTTTGTTTATACCTGAAAACAGGATATAGAACCACTAGTGTGTTGGGTTTCACCCCTTGTTATACTATTAGGTATCAGAAGTGAGGGTTTTCCGATGCACAGTCTGAGACAAGGACTTGGGGTCAGGTGGGTTATTTGGGAATAAGGAATGAGAGATCAGGGAGCATGAGATGGAGGAGAACAAAGAGCCAGTATTAATTTTTGCTGTTGAGTTTGTTGCCGTAGGCAATGAGCGTTCAGTTCCACCAGCACTACTGAGAAGCGCAGGGGATGCCTCCCAAAATTTGTCTTTTACTATTCTCTTATTTCTCATCAGCTATCAATTTATAGTCACATTATTGTCAATTACAATTTCTATAAAGAACACCAGTTCCACATAAAATTGTTTTAAGGCCTGAAGCAATTATAGTTAATGATTGTATCTGTTAAACTTGAAAGTCACTTTTACGTCTCATTTGGGAGTCAAACGATAATTTTTTTTTCTTTTCTTTTTTCTCTTTTTTTGAGACAGGGTCTCACTCTGTCACCCAGTCTGGAGTGCAGTGGCATGGCATGCTCATGGCTCACTGCAGCCGAGGCCTCCTGGGCTCAACCCACCTCAGCCTCTCTAGTAGCTGGGACTACAAGTGTGTGCCACCATGTATTTTTGTATTTTTTGTAAAGACAATGTTTTGCCATGTTGCCCAGGCTGGTCTTGAACTCCGAGGCTCAAGCAATCTGCCTGACTCAGCCTCCCATAGTATTGGGATTACAGGCATAAGCCACCACACCTGGCCAATAAAATATTTTTTAAACCTAAAACACCTTCTCTAGGGCCCACCACAAAAATCAGATGAAATACAGTAGAGATGAAAAATATGAATGTAGAAGTGCTTCAAACATGTAAATCTCTTAAAATGAAGGGTATATGTAAAGTGGAATATTCTGGTTGATGCACCATTTAAACAAATATTTGTGGGATGAATGAATTTATTCTCCATCCACTTGGTGCAACGTTTCTGCATTAGGGTTCTCTAGAGAAGAGAAACAGTACCAATAGGATAAATATATAGATATAGATATAGATATAAAGAGAGATTTTTTTTTTTTGAGAGTTCTCACTCTGTCACCCAGGCTGGAGTGCAGTGGTGAGATCTCGGCTCACTGCAAGCTCCGCCTCCCAGGTTCACACCATTCTCCTGCCTCAGCCTCCTGAGTAGCTGGAGCTACAGGCACCCACCCCCATGCCCGGCTAATTTTTTGTATTTTTAGTAGAGACGGGGTTTCACCGTGTTAACCAGGTTAGTCTCGATCTCCTGACCTCGTGATCCACTCACCTCCACCTCCCAGACTGCTGGGATTACAGGCGTGAGTCACCGTGCCTGGCCAATTTATTTTAAGGAATTAGTTCAAGCAATTATGGAGGCTGCAGAATCCAAAATCTGCAGGGTGGGCTAGCTGGCAGGCTGGAGACCCAGGAAAGAGCCAATGTTGCAGTTGAAGTCCAAGTCCAAAGGCCATTTGCTAGGAGAATCCTTCTTGCCTGAGGTAGGTCAGTCTTTTGTTCTATTCAGGCCTTCAACAGATTGGATGAAATCCACCACATTATGGAGGGCAATCTGATTAACTTGAAATCCACCTCATTATGGAGGGCAATCTGATTTACTTGAAATCCACCTATTTAAATGTTAATTTCATCCTAAAACATCCTGTATTAGTCTGTTCTCATGCTGCTAATAAGGACATACTGCAAACTGGGTAATTTATAAAGGAAGGAGGTTTAATTAACTCACAATTCCACATGGTTTGGGAGGCCTCACAATCATGCTGGAAGTTGAAGGAGGAGCAAAGGCACATCTTACATGGTGGCAGGCAAGAGAGCTTGTGCTGGGGAACCCCCCTTTATAAAACTGTTAGTTCTCATAAGACATATTCACTATCATGAGAACAACACAGGAAAGACCCACCCCCATTATTCAATTACCTCCCACTGGGTCCCTCCCACAACACATGGGAATTATGGGAGCTACAGTTCAAGATGAGATTTGGGTGGCGACACAGCCAAACCATATCATTCCACCCCTGGCCCCTCCAAAATCTCATGTCCTCACATTTCAAAATCAATCATACCTTCCCACAGTCCCCCAAAGTATTAACTCATTTCAGCATTAACTCAAAAGTCCACAGTCCAAAGTCTCATCTGAGACAAGGTAAGTCCCTTCCCCCCTATAAGCCTGTAAAATCAAAAGCAAATTAGTTACTTCCTAGATATAATGGAGGTACAGGCATTGGATAAACACACCTGTTCCAAATGAAAGAAATTGGCCAAAACGAAGGGGCTACAGGTCCTGTGCAAGTCTGAAATCCAGCAGGGCAGTCAAATCTTAAAGCTCCAAAATGATCTTTGACTCCATGTCTCACATCCAGGTCACACTGATGTAAAAGGTGGGTTCCCATGGTCTCAGGCAGCTCCAGCCTGTGGCTTTGCAGGGTGCAACCCCCTCCTGGCTGCGTTCATGAGCTGCCATTAAGTGACTGCAGCTTTTCCAGGTGTGCAGTACAAGCTGTCAGTGGATCTAACTTTCTGGGGTCTGGAGCATGGTGGCTCTCTTCTCTCAGCTCCACTAGGCAGTGGCCCAGTGAGGACTCTCTGTGGGTGTTAACACCCCACATTTCCCTTCTGCACTGCCCTAGCAGAAGTTCGCTTATGAGGGCTCTGCCCCTGTAGCAGACCTCTGCCTGGACATCCAGGTATTTCCATACATCCTCTGAAATCTAGGCAGAGGTACACAAACATCAAGTCTTGACTTCTGTGCACCCTCAGACACAACACTACATGTAAGCCACCAAGGCTTGGGGCTTGCTCCTTCTGATGCAACAGTTAAGCTATACGTTGGGCTCTTTTTGCCACAGCTGGAATGTAAGACACCAAGTCCCAAGACCGCACAAAGCAACAAGGCCCTGGGCCCAGCCCACAAAACCATTTTTTCTTCCTATGCTTCCTGGCTTGTGATGGGAGGGACTGCTGTAAAGACCTCTGACATGACCTGAGACATTTTCCCCATTGTCATGGTGATTCACATTTGGCTCCTCATTACTTATGCAAATTTCTGCAGCCCCCTTGAATTTCTCCTCAGAAAATGGGGTTTTCTTTTCTATTGCATCATCAGGCTGCAAATTTTCTGAACTTTAATGTGCTTCCCTTCTGAACATAAGTTCCAATTCCAAACCCTATCTGTGCGAATACATAAAACTAAATGCTTTTAACAGTACCCAATTTACCTCTGGAATGCCTTGTTGCTTAGAAATTTCTTCTGCCAGATGCCCTAAATCATCTCTCTCAAGTTGAAAGTTTCACAAATCTCTAGGGCAGGGGCAAAATGCCACCAGTCTTTTGGCTAAAATATAGCAAGAGTCCTCTTTGCTCCAGTTCCCAAGTTCCTCATCTGCATCTGAGGCCACCTCAGCCTGGACTTTACTGTCCATATCACTATCAGCATTTTGGTCAAAGCCATTCAACAAATCTCTAAGAAGTTCCAAATTTTCCCATCTTTCTGCCTTCTGAGCCCTCCAAACTGCCTGTTACCCAGTTCCAAAGTTGCTTTCACATTTTCTGGTATCTTTACATCTACGCCCCACTCTATCAGCACCAATTTACTGTATTAGTCTGTTCTGGTGCTGCTAATAAAGACATATCTGAGACTGAATAATTTATAAAGGAAAGAGATTTAAGTGACTCACAGTTCCACATAGCTGGGAAGGCCTCACAATCATGGGGGAAGTTGAAGGAGGAGCAAAGGCACATCTTACATGGCGGCAGGCAAGAGAGCTTGTGTAGGGGAACTCCCCTTTATAAAAGCATCAGATCTTGTGAGACTTATTCACTATCTTAAGAACAGCATGGGAAAGACCTGCCCCCATGATTCAATTACCTCCCACTGGATCCCTCCCATGACAAGTGGGAATTATGGGAGCTACAAGTCAAGACGAAATTTGGGTGAGGACACAATTTATTGGGGGAACCGGCCCCCAATATTTCCACATAGGTTCTTTCTGTTTTTCGTAAGTGTCGGCCAGCTGAGAAATAAAGAGAGACAGTACAAAGAGAGAAATTTTACAGCTGGGCTAACATCACATATCGGTAGGACCATGATGCCCGCCTGAGTCTCAGACCAGCAAGTTTTTAATAAGGGTTTCAAAAGGGGAGGGGGTATAAGAACGAGAGTAGGCACAAAGACCACATGTTTCAAAGAGCAAAAAGCAGAACCACTGATAAGGGTCTAACAAAGATCACATGCTTCTGAGGGGAACAGGGCAAAGGGCAAAAGCAGAACCACAGATAAGGGTCCAACAAAGATCACAGGGCAAGGGCAAAAGCAGAACCACTGATAAGGGTCTATGTTCAGTGGTGCATGTATTGTCTTGGTAAACATCTTAAACAACAGAAAACAGGGTTTGAGAGGAGAGAACCAGTCTGACCACAAATTTACCAGGGCTGAGTTTTCCCAACCCTAGTAAGCCTGAGGGTTCTGCAGGAGACCAGGGCTTGTCTCAGTCCTTATCTCAACTGTACAAGAAGACATTCCCAGAGTGGTCGTTTATAGACCTCCCCCCAGGAATGCATTCTTTTCCCAGGGTATTATTATTAATATTCCTTGCTAGGAAAAGAATTTAGTGATATGTTTCCTACTTGCATGTCCGTTTATAGGCTCTCTGCAAGAAGAAAAATATGGCTCTTTTTGCCTGACCCCGCAGGCAGTCAGACCTTATGGTTGTCTTCCCTTGTTCCATAAAAATCGCTATTATTCTGTTGTTTTTCAAGGTGCACTGATTTCATGTTGTTCAAATACACATTTTACAATCAATTTGTACAGTTGACACAATTATCACAGTGTTCCTGAGGTGACATACATCCTCAGCTTACGAAGATAACAGGATTAAGAGAT